ATACATTTTTGACTACAAGAAACATATATCCGATGCTGACATTCATCGTAAGTTGACTGAAGATTACGCTAAAGTTTATACTAAAGGGCTGAAAATGGTGTAATTCTGTTTACCAACAAATGATGCCAGTAAGTCCTGAGGAGCCTCATTCGGTGTATCTCTGAGTAGATAGGTAAGTCCAGAAACCATGTTAATAGCTGCTCCCTCCCCATGAAATAATGTCATATCTGTGGCGTGACTCGACCAATCCTGGCTGCTTACTTACTGGAGCCTACATAATACATAGGGACAGTGACGGTTCTCGGGTGGGGGGGGGGGCTTTTGGACCCTGGAAAAAAGTTAAACACAAACTTTGTCATATAAACAGACATTTTTTTATACATTATTACTAATTAGGTGTTAAAAGTAGCTTTAGAAAGTCACCAAACAGCTTTAAAAAAACCAAATTTTTCCCCCTCATTTCTTACATACCCCCAAGCACTGGGTATCCCTCCCTTGACAAGGTCCTAGAACGGCCACTGCAAAGGACTTGGTAAACAACAACCCTGTAATGTAATTTTCAATCAGCAAGTTAAAATGTTGTAGTGTCGTTAACACTATGTATGCGAGTTGGGTACACTACTTTACCTACAACCAGTTTTAAATTACTAATAATCACTACTCGAAACATCTGAGAGAGGTTATGTTTCGTTTATAACCTCACATTACCACTGACATTGATGCAACCGATGACTCATTGTACCAATCACTAATTAATTGCACCATTTGTTAACAATTAAATTGGTAAACAGCTGATTAGCTGAAGTTTGAAGCATTACATTTTTACTTCTTCTCTCTCAATCCTTGAACCTCATTGGTCCGTTACCCGTGTTGTTAAATAAAACTATGCTGTTATGTAAGTAAAAAAATGCTGTTATGTGAATATTTTCAATTCTAAGAACTGAACTGAAACGGCTACTTAAAAAAACGGTCGAAGGTAAAATTATTAATGATTTAAATATAACTATTATCAAGTTACTACCTTTATCATGCCTCTCCTTTATATTGCGAGTATTTAAGTCCGAATTCATACAAAAAACTTGTTAAAAGTGTAACTCCCAAACAATTCACCCAACTAGTCAAATTCCACCTGAGTCTTTATTGTTTGTTTTCCTCTTTAACAGACAGTTGTGTTGTCTTCAGCTCAAAAGACCTGATGGTTTACCGTAGTAACACCCGTCCAACCCTAAGCCCAAACGTAGTAGACTCCTAGCAAATGTCAAGTACAGCTTTCAGTTGTTTTGATGAGTTATACTCACTTAAGTGGTTGAAAGTTTAAGTTTCGTTGATTGCATTATTTAGAGTGGCTAATATTTTGCCTTTAATTTTGACTTTAATTTGCCAAAATATATGGCTAATATTTTGAAAGGTTAATCACATCCAGGGCACCACATTTTATTTGGAATCGCTCATTTTAAACTTATTTAAGAAGGTGTTTTCACTTACATTAAGAATTGAAAACAAATTCTAAATAAGAATAAACCCAAATCACACAGCACACATACAAATCAATGCTATCTAAGGATGGATGGTATTGTATCATTAAATTGGGACAAGACAAAATGTTTCTTTGTTTCCTCATTTTTGGGACGGGATTTTCTTCCCACGGGAAACTTAGCCTCTTGTTTTTTTTTATCTTGAGTGAAAATCATTGCAGATGGCAATAATGATGATAAACAGAATCAATTCTCCTAGTCTTTGTAGCAAAGTTCTATAAGTAATAACCAACAATGGGTGAACAAAAATGATTTGGGATTTTATTGGCACTGGATATATTATAGTTTCCCAAGACATCATAACCACATTTGCCAGTGGGAACGAATCCAGTCCCAATAGAATCCCAAATCAAATGTAATGCCAGCACTAATATATAAATATATATATATTAATTCATTCCGGTATGTTTTTTTCGTGATGGCATTTTCAATGTTATTCTTAGTTTGTTGGCTACTCATCACTAAATTAAAATTATTCACAATTTACTTAAAGAATGTGGAGGAATATTTCGAGTTTTAATCAAAACCCATCTTTGAGCTGAAGATGGGTTTTGATGAAAACTCAAAATATACCTCCAAATTGTTTAATTAAATTGTGTTTAGTTCTAATTTAGTGATGAGTAGCCAACAAACTAAGAATAACACATATATACATTTTTTCACATAAAATTTGCTGAAATTTTGTGATCCGACCAACCCTACCAAGTATCTATGTTTGTCATCCGTTTCTTATTAGTTTTTACACAAAAAACATAATACCAGTTTGATTTATTTCAGTTTTAAAATAATTATTCACATTCACTACCCATCACCGATATGAATAAATGAATAATGAAGTTTATTTCCCACAAAAAACCACAATGTAACAATACATCAGATGTAGAGAAATATGACTGGCTACTTGATCCAGTAGTGTAACCCGTTTGCTTATACTAACTTATCGGCTAACATGACGTTGTAATTTATGGTCTAGCATCTGTTATAAAACATTGAATTCCGCCTGAACTGTGCATCTGATGGACAAAACAAGAACTGTTTTAATAAAACAATGAAAGTTTGACAATATTTGACAACAATATTTGACGTCAGACTTTCCCAAGTCCTTTTTCTAACTTGCAGGTCATATTTCCCTTTTGGACCAAGCTTATCGAACTAAACGTACCCACAGACCAGTTTTTTTCAATTAGTTTTTCTGATCAATTAGGGTCTAAATAATATTTATTTACATTAAATTTGCAATAATAAATTCAATCATGTATTTTGTTTTTATAAGTTTTATGACAAGTATAGTTGACATCAATCCATCACTTATTTCGTTCTGTTTTGATGTCGTTATCCATTAGAAGTATGTCAATCTTTATCCATGACATAAAACACAAAAAATGTTATAATAAACAAACACACGCCAAAGCACTTGAAGAGGGCTGAGTCAACTAAGGAATCAAGACCTCTAGATATTTATATCTAAAAAAGAAATGCTGTTAGTTGTATGGAAAAAAATCACCTATAAGGAAGGAAACCATGGCAACAGCATATTTAGGGGCTATTCCATTAGACCTACAACTAACAACCAAGACTGTTATATAAATCGTAATATAAATAACCCTTAAAAACTTCAACCATAGTTGACGCTGGTCTGTGGTGAAAGAATTTTTATATCCGTAGAGAATGTGTTAAGAGGGCCATCCACAATGTAACACATGATTCGCATTGGAGCATGTGCAACATATCTTTGGTACTTTGTCTGCAGATGAGTGTAGTCATTCGTTGTACTGTACTCGTACTGCCATTTGTGAGGTGGGCTCTGTGATTTTAGTTTGCAGAAATTTACACAATATTAATAAACGGTATCAGCAATCTGACACATACTTTCTCCCTTGTCAACAACCTTTATCGTGGGCAAGCGGTGGGAGTAACTATGATATTTTATAGGTTAAAATCATAAAAGTTGCAATAACTTTTTAACCGTGATTGCTACAGCAATGGGGGGGTTGCACTATTTTGTTTAGAATTCTAAGGACCATAACACATTAATTTTAATCAAAACTATTTTTTTTCTAAAATCTGATTTTTTGTTATTTTATGGGAAAATAACATGAGTTACAATAATTTTGAAACCATAATTTTTGTGGAAATGGGATCTGTACCATTTTGTTCAGAATTTAAAGGAATATAACATACTAAATTAGTAAATTTGTATCAACATTGTTCGGGCCAATTTTGAGAAAATCCAATTTCTCGTTATTTTATGGGAAAATTATCATTAAAAATAAAAATTTTGAAAAATGATAATAATTGATTAGTATCTACATACCAAATTCCATTGAAATTGGACTACGGGTGTGGCCCAAGCTCTGGTGGTAGCTCTGTACACATCCAAGCCACTTTTTTGGGTTCAGGGGGACCTATACGGATATATCCACTCAAAACTCAAAAATTTTAAAGAATATGATACTTTCTCCATATACTATGTATAGGGAGAAAGTAAAAATTATCACCAGGTTTGGGATTTTTACAGCAAAGGAGTAATGAGTGAAGGCCGAGTGAGAGATCGTGCAGTAACTTTCAAAATGGCTTAAAACTCGGTTTTCACTTTTGCCAGTATTCCAGGAATCTCAGTGCAAGTCTCTGTTTTTTGTGATTGTCTGTTAAGATCTTAGGAACCTACTGGACACAAAATCTGTGGTCACCAAGTGTATTGCATAATTATATGTACTAAACTGTGTAAAATTTTGAGAAAATGTTCCACAACTTCCTTAATGTGAAACGGGAATTTTCACAGATTTTGTCTTTGACTTTCCCTACTAGTTCAAAAGCCACTAAGACTAGGCCTAACACTGTGATCATAATCTTTAACATTTGTTCAGATAGTTGTTAAGTTCACAAACAGCCTCAATCTCTTTCCATCACTCCTTTCCCGTAAACAGCACAAATCTAGAAAAAAATTTTCAATTCGCACACAAAATCTGATGACAGAGCCCACCTCACAACTGGGGGTTTTTACAATGACACTCCACTGCAGACAAAGTGCAAGAGATAGCATAGCTGGATTCGTACTGAGTGTAGGAATATTCTAAAACTAAGATGGTGGTGATAGCAACGCCCTAATCGGCGCCAATGCAATATCTCTGTTACTTTCTGATCTGAATCCAAAACTACCCCTATGTGCAGATTCCCAAGTTAAAATAGAACCCCAGTCTTCCACAGCTTGTCATAAGAACTACACCAACAGAAGTTGGGAGATCCTTCTCTTCCTGCTTCTAACTTTCTCCCAGGTCAAGATTCTTTATTTTAGCTTGGTCCTTGAAATATTTTGTCTTTTGTCATTCTTCTTCCTTCAATCCCATTTCAAAAACAATATGTTTATTTTTTTCATCTAGAATTTTATATGAATCTTGAGTTGCAAATTTAGTGTGTTAAAAGTTATCAACAAATTAAAATTTAAAAACTAAATGAAAAGGATAAACAATAGATAGTTTTTTTCACAATGATAATCTGCATGTATTTATAAATGTATAATTTTTATTATTCTAGCTTGTAGCCTGGAATTTTCCCATTACTTCAGGCTAGGTGTAGAAGGGGTCGCGGCAATATCACTTCCTCGGTGACCAAAGTTCCGCACTCTACCACTAAACCAGCTCGCTCCCAAATCATCATTACCGAAAACAACAATAATGCAACATAATCTATCTAAACTAACTGTATAACTACGCCAAATCCGTGGGTTTCACGCTTGTAGTGGTGGCGAGGCCTTTGGTGGTCTTTTCAAGCAAATTTTTACTGAACCAAGGAGGACGTTCCTTTTTCATTTCAATGATTCTTTTCCCCTAAAATAAAAAAACAAAAATTTAATTACAATGACGTGGATTTTATACTTAGCTTACTTAACTTCTGTTATGTGAAGTTGGTGAATGATTTAGTAATATCATATGATGATACCATTAGCTCAATTCAATATACCGGTATTTCTCAACCAGAGGTATGTACTAGTATCACAATAAAAAATAGTTAACTGTCAATGTATTGTACATCCATGGAACAATACAACAATAGTTTATTTTGGATTTTTATACAAACTTAGTTTTTAAATCACTTGAATATGTAACCAACCACTAATGAAAAATTGTTGTGCACTAAAAATATGTTTGGTAGATTGATAATATCTGTAATGTTGTAGGCCAACCTACAAAAACTTAAAAGACTCTACTGTTGAAGATTGAGTTGTAGCTCTGAGAATTGTATATGTGTTATGTGTTTATTTATGTGCATTTTCATCTATTTTGTCCGTAAGGTAAATATATTTACCTTATTTAGGCTTTATGAAGGCTCATATTTTTACCTATTAAAAATAAAAATACTGTAGCCTAAACAAATTTTTAAGGACTCGAAGCTGTAACATTAAGCTGTACATTAAAATATTTTCAGAATACTCACTCTATAACGTAATAACTTATTTTGGTTTCAAATTAGAAATGTTAAATACTAAAATACTAATAGTTTTCAGACTTTTTGGGTGTGAATAATGCTCTAATACAGGGTTTTCCTAAATAATGTCTTTAGACCAAAATGAACAGGTGAGGTAGAAAAATTAGGTTGGTACAACTGAATTCTTTGGCTTTAATAGTTTTGTAACAGTGTCTTGGAAACATCTAGCCTATTTAATTGTTGTCCATGACACTTTGCTGTTACTCAAAAGTCAACATTTTTAATTTTTATCTAAAACATGTTTTCTGATCAAAAGAAGGTCAAGTGCTATTGTATGCTATTGTTAAGTGAATTAAGGTCAGATTTTTAGTTCAAAGGACTTTTAGAAAATTATTTAACAAAGCCATTTCATAAAAACAACATCAATTGTTGGAGAAACAGTTCGTAGAAACAGGATCAGTACTAAAACTGAAGACTTTAGAAAGACCACCTGTATCGGAGGTAACAATTTTGCAAAGGTAAGACAGTCTTGCCTTAGAAGTCCAGACTTTGGCCTAATTTCAAGTGATTTTTCTTACAGGACACGTGAAAAACATCGTGTACTCTAAGAGTCGCGAGAAAAATTCGGGAGTATTTCATTTGGTCCAAAATCGTTTTATCCTCCAGTTGGGGAGTATTTCATTTGGTCCAAAATCGTTTGGTCCAACAGTTGTAAAACAGTTTGTTTGGTCCAACACTCTAATACGAGTTCGTTTGGTCCAACAGTATGAACTATTGCGTCCCTCACATTGAAGGCGTTCAAATAATTGCAGTCACATCGTCAACCCAACCGCCTGCCTTCCGAGGCCCATTTGTTGTTTTGTGTTATGTTTCTAAATAATTGATATTTGCATTTATATACACGTACATATACATATATTTATTTATATATTATGTGCTTGTGTCCTGTTTACTTTTTATCCCCAGTCAATCTTAAAACAACGCGTTTTAATTCCCTAGATTTGTGGATAAACATTGACTTTGCTTTGAGTTAGCATTTAATGTTAAACAGATGGTTTATTTAATTTGTCTGTATATTAAATTCAATCTATGATTGTTGTGTGTTTGTCATGGTATTTGTAACAATCATGTAGTTAATAATACAAATATATAACGTGAATTTTTAGTGAAGATATATCCTTTTTGTAAAACTTCCCAAAATGTTATGTTTATTCCCCATGAGAACCAAGAATAAATTATTGAAAAGAAAAGAGTTTGTATTTGTTGTGGTGTATTGTCAATGGTATTATCTTAACTAACTATAATTATAATAGAGGAGGTATGTATTTATTTATGTATGTATGTACCCTATTGATTCCAAAAGCCAAGTTAGTGTTAAGTTTGGTATGTTTATAATCGCACTATTATAAACAATGAAAGGGATGGTAATTCTTTAATATTGTTATCCTTTGTTCTATACCCACACAATGTAATATAAATTGTGAAAAATAATTGTGCGTGCTATCTCAGATATACAAATGCCTCGCAATTTTTCATAAACTAAACCAACCACATTACTGTCACTAAAAGAAGGAATGCCAATAATACTAATGTGAAACTTAGGTCCACCCAAGCTGTGCAAAGGAACCAGACTGAATATAAAAAACATCGAAGGAACAATCATAAGTGATAAGTTTGAAGTAGAAATAGTCCCAAGAATACCAACGATATCATCTAGTCAAGAGTAGTAAAAAAGGCAGACACCAACCGATACAATAGATATAATGCATAATGCAATAAGAAATCATTGAAAGAGTTACTGTAATATCAAGAATATACAATTAAATTCGTAATGGAACGTTATATTGCTAAACATGACATTATAGGCCCTACAGAAGAACATCAATTTTAACATAAGAAAATAAGATCCTTATATATAATTCTGTTAGACCAACATTTTACCAGGAAATTGTGGACACCCAGAAAATATGAGTGCTATTAATGTAATTTTCATATTCTATTTCAAACATTTGATTAAGAATTATAGACAACGATGGAGGGTCAATAGTAAACACTGCATTGTAAATACCTAGATACAACAATAAAAATTAAGGTGTATGATAAAAATTTAAAACACTTTGGTCTACTGAATTTCTATACACTCTGTATATTAGAAGGTTGCCAAATGTGATAAAAACTGTTAATTTATAAGATTTCCAACCGTATGATACACTATTGAGTTTTAAGTCTGCTTATGTACGCTTTAGTGGTTTGAATACTACAAAACATGGTGTCTATAACCTTTAAAACATCGAAAGTCGGCATGTTTAAAGCAAAAATTGTATTAATATTATTATTGATTACGACGGCGGATATTTGAACGCCTTCAATGTGAGGGACGCAATAGTTTATACTGTTGGACCAAACAAACTCGTACCGGGATTAAAGTGTTGGATAAAACGATTTTGGACCAAACAAATGAGTTTTTAACTGTTGGACCAAACGATTTTGGACCAAATGCAATTGGATAAAACGATTATGGACCAAACGAACGAATTTTTAACTGTTGGGCCAAACGATTTTGGACCAAACGAACGGCAATATAAATGTTAGACCAAAAAATTTTGGACCATTTGAAGATGATCCAAAAATTCCAAGGTGGTGGTGGGTCACCAGGCCAACAAGTTTGGGAACTGCTGCCCTAGGGGTTTGTATTTCTACTTGATGTTTTAGAATTTATAAAAAATTAACATAATGACATTTACCTTGTGAAACTCATCTGGTACTCCATCCTTCTCTCCCTGATATAGAACAACAACATCTTTGTCCAATGGGTTCAAGCCTAGCTCAGCTTCAATTGCTTGGTGAATCGCCTCCGTCTCTTCTTTGACTTTGGAATAACAAGTGGCTGTAACAGAAACAATGTAATGTAGCAACTACATTCTGTCTCGGTAACTTCACAATAAGACCCTGGTTTCAGCTTTCAGTGGTCGCATGAACTATGATGGAGGTAGAGAAAAGAGCATCTACAATAAGTTCCGTGGACTGTATAATTCTGTTTAGTTTCTGTTTCATGGATTCTAAATAAATATCTTTACTAAAAAGCAAGTTTTGGTAGTGTTTGATACAATACTTAGCTTTCAACACTACTCTAGTCAATATCTACAGGTAATATCGAACAAGACTGATTAACGAGTAATCATTGACATTGACGATTTTCTTAAATTTAGGTATATCATACCTTTTTCAAAATCAGACAAAGTATTGTTTTTGTGATCTAAAATATCTGATTGCCCAATTAAGATTCATGCTTTGTATTGTCACATGGCAACTATATTACATATGATATTGTCAGACATCATAACTACGAATAGGCCTAACACTAAGTCCGCTCAGTTCAGTCCGCTCAGCTCAGCTCAGGTCAGTCAGCTCAGTTCCGGCAGTTTTCCCACACACTGCGTCAGTTCGGTCCGCTCGGTTCAGTTGTTTTTGAGCGCCAACTGCCAGTGACATAGTTCACAAGTAAATTATTTGTGTTGAGATTTCCTAGTTGTTATGAGTTCCACCAGTAGTGACGAAGGAATTGCTGTAATCACATTAGCACTAGCTGCAGAAGAGGATGATAAAGTTGTAAGGAAAAAGAGACGATTATGGATTCACAGTAGCAATGTATTTTCAATGTATTAATATATTTTTAATGTATCAATGAAATTTCTTCCTACGCGACCTCCTTCATTGTAATGTTGTAGTAATCCTTAAACTCATATTTAATAAATATAACTTTTGATCAGCATTGTACGTGTTATTAAATTTACGGAAAGTAAATAAAAGAAACGTCTTATAACACTTAAAACATATATTTATGCTTATACTGTTACTCACAAGTATACAAAAAAAGATGGTAAGTGGTGATCGATTTCGATTGGACACTTCAATCATCGAAATTGATCACCACTTACCATCTTTTTTGTATATTTACCATCTTATGAGTAACAGTATAAGCGTAAATATATGTATTAAGTGTTATAAGACGTTTCTTTTATTTACTTTCCGTTAATAAATATCACACAGTAGGCCTACTACGAACATGTGTCAGACCTCCCGAGGTCAGTTGCACAAGACTGACCGCTGTTTACTATGCAGTGCACATGCACGGCACCTCCGTTCCATCCGTCGCTTCCGTCCAATACGCTCGCTTACCAAAAACTGGCTGAGACGGACGGAGCGGACCGAACTAAGCGGACACAGTGTGCGGCTCTACGTTTGAATACGTTACATGGTTTTTGAAATTTGTGGAACGGACTGAACTGAGTGGATTCAGTGTGCGACGTGCCTTAGTGTTAACAAATACAAGTTAACATTAAACAGACACTAATGTAAAATACCCCCGGTGTAGGAAACCTACAGACTGAGCAGATTTTTACCCTGAATTTTTGAGAGTTCTAATTTTTCTGTGATTAAATTTCGGCCGAGTTTATGGGTGTTAGGCTACTGTACACAGAGTAATTTTTATCCAGTCAGTGGGAAAGATGTCATATAGCCCAAACACAATCTAATGATCAGCAACTTCAGATAAAAACCTCCTTTACAGGTTCAATTGTACGGTTTATGCATATCTAATATTTTTTTATTAAGATTATTTTTAATCAATGCACTTACGACATAAAAAGCCAGCTTCATGATTACTACCACAGTTTTTGCACACTAAAAGATTTTTCTTGGGAACCAGAGGCTTCCAAACTTGGTCGGGCCATCCATATTTCCTGTTTAGCCTCTTTTCAACTGATCTCCTCTTCTTCGGCACTGCCCATAGAATAGAGTCATTCAGGATGTCATGAATCAAACCCAGAGATTGAGTGTTGTTTTGAGGATAGCATTCGCCAATCGGTACTACACTGAATCCATCTGAAAAATTAAGTTTCTGTAGTATTATCCATTAGACATTCACACCTTTTAGTGAATTTCTCTATAGTAATAGTCAAGAATCATTATCCATAGTAGGCTATACATAGTTGTAAATGAATATCGTTAAATAAATTAAAACTAATGCTTCAACTAAGATGTAACCAGTTTTAATTCATATACCCTAAAGAATAGGACAGGTCTTATTATTAGGCCTATTCCCTCAGATCTTTTTCAAAAGGAGAAGAAGCTATCCTACAGCAAGGAAAGATCTAGATCCAAGACTGGTTTACTTTTTAATTTTGATGTTATCGTTTTATATGTCCATGAACATGATAACTCAAGTCATTTTGGTCCAATTTTGATGAAATTTGGCATAAATGTGTAGTGCTGAATAAACTTGAATGAGTTCACGAACCCGCATGATCGGGTCATAAGAACAACAACCTCATTTCATTCATTTCATTTCATTTCATTGAGCAGTAATGTTTTGACTTTTAGTTGGAGTAGTCCCCAATGACATACTGTAGTCAAAATATATAGCTATGCGACTTAGCGATAAGTTGAGTACCACAGAGTCAAAAGAGTGACATTTACAGGTAAGTGTGGTTCTTCGTGTACATGTTTATGTGTGAAGGCCTATTTCATAAATTCTATAGAATGATTGATAAAAATACCTAATATAATATATTCTAGGTAGGCCTAAACTATAAAATAAGAAAGACAAGTTATGGAAGTTAGAAAGTTCTGTGTGTTAACACATATATTCTATTTACTTCAAAAAGCGGCAAAAGGATGCAGAGTAAATATTTGTATGTCAAATTTAAAAACATCAGGAGGCTCAACAATGAGACACGTGCATTAGGCCTATTTGCATTTCTAGAAGCCTTTGACATAGCCTAGGCCAGGCCTACCATATAATTAACTAAGTTAATTTACATAATTACACATAATTTGTAATAATAACTAATAACTACCAAGGCTACATACATACATAGTAAATGTTGACATGAGGACTCACAGTAAGCCATTGTTTAGGAAATTCAACATACTCACTGTACCTGCAATGTACCTGCAATCTGGTTGGGTCTAGGCGAGGGGGTTGGCGGGGGTACTTTTGTGAAAACATTTGTGTCTTGCTACTCACTCACCCCTACCTCAGCACTGCCAATAGCCGGTACAAGTATGCTTTAGTTCGGTTAGTAGTGACCCGTCCACGCGCACTGAAGTTTTTGCCGAACATATTTTTGAATGTCTGTTGTTTATTAAAAGAAATTTACATACTATACCTACAAATAAAAATGTTAAAAAATATTTCACTAGAGACTGTAACTCACTTAGAATTTCCCAGTGTAACTTAAGTTAAAAATTGCTCTGAATTGTTTTGTTGAAATGGTAAAAAACTGTAAATTCTCTACCCTCTTATTATAGCCTAAATGTTTAGAATTTAACTGTTATAAGAGGAACGTTAAGCACCTTTTGATTAGTATTAGTCCATATGACATAAATGAGTTTTTCCTTAATGTTAATGACCGTAGCCTAAAGTATAACTAAAAATGTCTGTGATTATCTGTGGACTGTTTTATAGCCTAGTTATATTTATTATAACTAGTTTACACTGCTATGCATTGTAAAATGTTCTGACAATAAAGATTTGATTTGATTTGATTTGATTTAGGCTAGATAATTTGCCTCCAGGATTGATTTATTGACATAAAATGAGGTTACTAACCTGTCGTCAACCAGTCCTATATTGTCGTGGATGACTATAGTTTCGGGGATAAAACCCCATTTTCATCTTCTCTTTCCCCAATCAAATAGAACTAAACTAGCCTAACTCAACGTCTACCCTAGCACACTGTAAAAAAAAGGCAGACAGCCCTAACGGAAAATCAATGCCTAATGAAATCTGATAAAATATTTTACTCAATATTTGGCTGCACTTCACTTTAGGTCCTACACAAACAACCGAATGAAAATATTGATTTTTTGATATTAGGTCGATATAGGTTAGGTTAACCTTACCTAACTAAACAAAAGATACACCGATATTGAATAATCGATATATCGATCAATGTTTTCATTCGAATGAGTGTAGGACCTAAAGTAAAGTGCAGCCCAATATTTATGTTATATTGAATTAAAATTCCATCCAAAATTATATCTAGCCTAGGTTCTCTGCGGAAATGTAGGCCTAACTTACCTGATGAAGAATTAAGTTATCTACCACATCACTTTCTACAGAAGTCCATTACTAACTTACTTGTAATACTTGTAGTTTCCGTCCGTAGTCCAGAGCAGGAATTGAACAGGTCAATAGGTTAAGGTTATAACCTCCTAAGTAGGCCTATAATACTACCTACCAATCTTTGAATTTGAATGAACCCTTTTCACATGTAGATAACCAATTAAGGGTACAGTTTTTTAACTGGGCTATGCTAATATTGATTGAATCTATCGAATTGAAAATATTGATTAATAATCGATATTTTTTAATATCTCTATTATAAAATTAAACTATTATAACCTAACCTAACCAACCAAACTTGCTGATGATGAAAAAGTCGCATGAAGGTTTACTAATCGAATCGATAGTTTCAATCGATATTAGCATAGCCCAGTTAAGAAACTGTACCCCAAATATGGATTGAGATTTATTACCTGGAGGTCGCTGAAGTCCTAGTAAAGCTAACGCATTGCTTTCAAAGTTGAAAATGCACTGTCGCATGTAATTTAAAGACCTAGCTAGCATTATGAATGTAATAATTTTTTATTGCGAATTAAGAGTGGAAACACATACAAGTTTAGGTCTAAAATAAACTAAACTAGAATAGAAACTACTTAACACTCAACCGGAACGCCTTTCCAATTCCCATTAAAATTTTGATTTTGAGGTTAACGTCAAATTTTGAGGAGGTACTCGGAAGCAGACCAGCAGACAACTCACCTTGCAGTTTTTGTTTTTTTCTACATACAACAATTGTGGTGGCCTTGATTAAAAGTCATGAGGCCCCACTGTTAACTTTTTGTGGTTATCCATAGTTTTTTTTTTGTTTATTTGATATTTTTATTAGGATAATGATATTAACACATTTCATTTTGTTATTTACAGACATAAATGTAGACAGTGAACACTGATTTGTTCTGTAATATTTAGTTAGCTATAAAGAAAAGGATCTCTAAAAGGAAATTTGAGGTAGATGGGTATCTGGGAGGGATGGAAGAGGTTTAGTCTTCCTTGCCTGGGCCGATCAGGTGGACTAACCCGAAAAGGTGGACCTCGGATGAATAATCCCAGGATTGAACAAACATTAATGTTAAATTTGAGTGACTGTAATGTGTTTGTTTTTAGATCTTCCGACCGATGGAATGAAGGAATTAAATTTGTTATGTTCGAGATTTAAATGTCTTGATCATTTTTGCTGACAACTTCACAATTCCCAGTGGGCAGGAAGGGCAGGTCATTCTTTTCTTTGCCACAGTAGTGGGGCCTGAACCATCGCTCATTTTGGTCTAGAATAGTAGTTGCAGGAAGCCTTGATATCTAATTGCTGTTGTGCTATTTAATTTCGATCCATAGAATAATAAGAAATGTAAAATAAAACTATGTAAACAAATATTTAAAAAAGGAATATATGTCAAAATGGTGTTAATTAAAGCAGAGTGATATGATATTGTACGTGTGGATTGTGTTTCAATTCACTGTATATTTGATGCTGGTAGTATGGAAAATATTATGCACCATCCGTGTTTAGGAAGGTGTTGCCTGTACTCGCATAAAATGGGGAGCGAGCTGGCGTAGTGGTTTGTTGGAATTTTCGCCCTAGTTTTTGAATTAATGGTTTTAGCGAATTTCCCATATAGGGAATAAGCTATTTTACTGTATGTGTCATGGTAAGACCTAGAATCGGGGCCGATTTACTTTTTCGTTTTGAGGTCCCCAGAGAGGCAAAAACACCACCCGTTCAAATTAATATAATATACATATGTCCGTTAGCGTGATAACTCGAGCAAAAATTATCCAATTTTGACGAATTTGTACTAACGTGTAAGCCTACGTTTATTCGAGCGAGTTCGCGAACCAGCATAATCGGACCATGGGAACAGGGGTTTATAGGGTGTTTTATATATGGGGTAAAAATGGGGTTTTCTCATTTTTGACCCTAAAAACAAAAGATTTAGCAATTTCTTTTTAAACCATTTTGTATAGCTTAAAAAAAGAAATAATTTTTTTCTTGTGTCTACGCCCAACTTAGTATATTGAAGCGCTGTTGTATACCTAACGGTCACGGAGTAAATTAAAAATATGTGTAATATGAAATTTCACTGTTGTAGTTTACTTGTTTATGGATATATGTTGATAAAATTTGGCAAATTTATTTATGAGGAGTTTAAACATTCACAAAACCACACAGTCCTAGGATTTTCAACATCCAGCACTTCAATGTTAAAATCACCTCCCACAATGAGCCTAATGAGGTTATACTTTACTTCTAAAGTCTGCAATAAAGGCTAAAGTTGGCCTTGAGACTGAGATCAGTCTTACCACTTTTTGCAAGGCTTTTGTTGTGGGATTTAGTTACATAGTATCCACTGTCTTAGATTTTACTAGGCCTAGGCTAGACGCCGAATTAATGCACGACTTCGGTTACATCAGACCCAGAAATCTGATTTGAATCGGAATCAGAAGCCAGCCTCTATGAGTCCATTAACCATCGAGCTTATTAAGCTTCGAGTCATCGTCAACAACTCCCTTGACAAGAGAGGCCTAGTTTTCCACGATGGAGTTTTAATTCAGAAACTCGTCGATGTTACAAACGTTTCTGTAGTCGTTTTATAGGTTAGATTTGCATGACTCACAAAACCACTTGCAGCGATCTTCCAACTGACACAATAGGTCATAATCATTTTTATTTACAATAACACTGGCGATATGATTCCATTTTCGGCAAAATCCGCCACAAAAAATACCATTACCATTACCTTTTACGAGTTTAAAGCAAGAGCCACAATTTGGATACGAATCAAAGAGTTTTCCCATACACACCAGGCCAAGTCATTAGCAAAATTAAAGCTCTTTACGGATAAATCATTAATATTACAAGGTTACAAGGTCATTATAAAGTTTAAACAGAGTAGGTCTCAAGAGCACAGAGCTTTTTGGGGCACTCGGTGAGGCACTCGAACCTCGAACCGGACTAGAAAACGTGCCGTTTAGATAGACTTTTTTCCATCTGTCACTAAGATAAGATTGAAAAAACTTATACACAGCATCAAGGTTATAGCAAGAAGGCTTATCCACAAGGAGATCATGAGCCACCGTATCAAGGGCCTTAGGCGTCTCGTAACACTATAAAACACACATAACAGAAATAGAAATAATGAGTAAACATTTACATAAAAAAAACTGGCCAGTGCTTTCACGCGCAACACGGACGCCGATATCAAATGGCTTTCAAAGTTAAGAGGCTAAAGCACTGGCCAGTTTTTTTTTATTTAAATATTTACTCATTATTTCTATTTCTGTTATGTGTTTGTATAATGTGTTTGTCCAATGACTTCGTCAGGTCTGAAAATCTGACTAATGATTAGATTTTGCTGTCACATTTAAAGATGGACTCTATTTGCCCAATACTATAGTAGTGTACCCATATAAACGTAATATAAATTTATATTATAGTAATATAGTATTTATATTACTTCTCTGGTGTCTACCTAGGATAATTAATTTGATGGGGCAAGGTGTTATTTATAATTATAAAAATATAATGTGTAAGTTTTTGTTTGGATTTGTTACATAAGTAAATACGTATTCCCATTAAACAAAACCGCTGATACTGTTAGAGTAGACATTTCTTTTTTAGATTACATAAATATGCAATCCTTTAACGAACCTAAATGGACATAGAAGTATGTTTTGTCAGCTGGTAGTTTGTATAATATGAGTCGTTCTCCTGTAGTTGAGCTTCATGATAAAGAGTATTGCCCAACTACTGTAGTCAGCTGGAAGGCGTTGCTGCAGCAGCCGACTCGACTGGGAACAAAATGATAGCTGATCGGAGGTTCATAACAGTTTGTACTATGGCGTGTTTAGGGTCGGGAAGGCTCTGTGCTCGTAGTGTTGAGAAATTGTGTCAGCTCGGACAAAAAACCCAAATAAGAAGAAAACCTTCAGCTGCATTTGTAAGGATCAAAGAAGTTGGCATTCAACCTTTATCTCGGACCCTAGTGCAGCATTGCAAGGTTAGTAAAACTTAAGATTTTTGGCGGTTTATGCTCTAATGTTTCAGTTTTTTAACCATAACTTGTAATATTACGTCCATAAAGTATTTTCAGCAATTACTTTCAACTTACCAGGCCTATAAGTATTTTTATGTTTGTAATTAATTTGTTACAGATAACAGCTGCTTTGTGCTATTCAAACATCAATCGTAAACTGCACCTCTATTAATCCTTACAATGATTTTTTATAAGAAAATACTAGTTATAATATTATTTAATTGTTTCACAATTTTGGTTAAATTAATCTTTCAATAATAAGTTACTTATTATTCATTATTAACTAGTTTCGCCAATATTGTTTTGACAAAAGTTTACAGATATTTGTATTTCTTGTATACTTTTTTGCTCATTAACTGTCGGGAGGATTACAGCTGCAAACCTCTATTTTATCATGCTTATTTTTGCATGTCTTTAAAGCCATATCAATATTATCAATCACCAATCGATACATGCAAACATTATTCCGAACGAAGTTCTATAACCTAGTTTGTTATGTTGTTAGCAGACGGTTTCGCTAGCAGAAAGTTGACTACTTGGGTCAGCTTAGCAACTTAAATGTTTTGTTTCGGCAAGTCACACAACAATCGTTAGTGTCGTTTTTATATCACGTTGTTATATTTGTAAATTATTTTCTTAATTTTGTACATCATACCCTGAACCCTTACCTTTAATCATAAAACTCAATGGGAACATTAATAATACAATACAATTCTTTTGACACAAATTACTAAGTTACTTTTATTTTCAAGGTTTTTTAACATTGTTAACTCAAAGACATATAAAATACAAACAGTTTAACCAGGGTTTAACCATTGGTTTAACAGTCAAAGACTACTCAAACAAAATGTGATTGTTTGTCATGTCATTTAGTAGGCGATGATTGTAGCTGGGAGCTGATAGATAGTTTTAGATTTCTTTGGCGAAAATTTTGAAGAAACTGCGAAAAAGTGAACGTGAACAATAAGTAAAAACGGATGCAGACGACATCCGCGAAGTTTAATTTAGGTTAGGTCTAGGTCGAAGTATTAAGAAGTGTTCTGATTTTCAATACCGTAAATCTAATCTAATACAGGACGAGGACACTGGACATCGGATTGAGGTCCAATAAATTTCGTGGATGTTTTCATGTTTCGTGTAAGCCGTAAGCTTTATAGGCCTATTTCTTTATAAGAATTTAAAGGTGTTTTTGGAAAAAAATACTCTGTCAGCGATAGTCAACTTAGGACAAATGTATGTTGGCCTAGACCTAGAAAGAAACAAACATTCTACTTAGACCTGTAGACGTGATTATACGTGACCTGTTCACTTGACTTAGACTAAACTTATAAACAAGTTTTTGGCCCTTCAGTTTATACCGGTAAACTAACACATTACCCTATCTATAAGAATGCGATTAAGAAATGTATTGACAACCAAGCAAATACATTGTTTACAATAGGTCTCCTCAAATTAGTCTACAAAATTTAAGTAAAATCAGAGCAATAGTCATCAAGTTTGTCAGGCATTGAAGCTAAATACGATTTTTTTTATAAAAGCTATAACCATTGACATTGACTATAAACAGAATAGACTTCCCAATGTAGGCCTAATGTAAAAATTTGAAGCCAAAAAACGTGGCACAGTCTGTTGAGATTGTCACCAACTAATGACACTATTCT